GATCACCGTAACAGCACCTGTTGCAGTGTGCTGGTCATGTTTCTGTCCTCAGAGTGACCCTGCAGGACTCTTATTTCCTGTCTCAGCATCAATGCAGGCGGTCCCCTGAAGATGGTCACTCCCTAATTTACCTTCAGGACACTAGAAGGATTAAATAATAGATGTAAAATTTATTTACAAATAACTAGGATGCTGCAGAGTTACATTTCTGTGCCACATGGTTCAAAAGGTCTTACAAAACACCAGATGATAAGGCAACGAAAAGAGGCAATATAAGTAATTCAGCTAAAAATGTAGGAAATATTTTTTTTAGGGAAAAACAATGTTCCTGTGAAATCAACTGATTCAGTGACACCAGCTTTTCACTCCAAAAAGGTAACTTCATTTGTCTGTAAAGGTAGCTCTGGTGTTTGTAAAGACTGAGTAAGAATGTTGTACTATTATTTAGAATTTTTCCTATTTTGGTGAATGGATACACACAGCACTCCTTTAGGACACAAGTCTTACTTTACTCACTAAGCACATTTTTGAGGAAAAGAAACACTTCATTTTATCAACAGATTTCATATATACAAGTGCTTCTTTTGAACTGTATTTGTACCATCATAACAAGCACAGCAAGTCTCTGAGCTGAAAAGAACTGAGTATTGGTAAATACAACATTTGCTTGCCTTTTCCATTCTCCAGCCTTCCATTTATGACCACTGCTAGAGAGAAGAGTCTGATGGACACTTTTGGTGTGGTGCAGAATGGTCATTCTTATATTCTGATGTGGTGATCCTTCCTATTCAGGAATGACTGATGTGTTTAGGTGCACCTTAGCAGATGGAAACTGCACTACAGTATGTTACTCTTCTATCCCACTCAGACAGGCAATGTTGCCTTAGCTGTGTTAAGTTACACTCTCAAATCCTGATCTGCAAAAATGCAGATTTTATGTCTGGGAGGCTTAAACCAATTTGTGGCAGTACCACAGAGGTCCAGCTAGTTGTTGCTTCTACTGTTAATTCCACATGTCAAACCTGACTTGCTATGGGAACGTGAGACTGTCTACGTAACTTCTAAGTAAAAAAAGTCTTCTATTTTAAGAGAAGTGTTGATTTATTTTATTTGCTCCTTGTGGCGTCATCTTAGCAATGTACTTCTGCACAACTGAGAATAAAGTAGAAAAATAGCTACAAATAAAGACAGGAGAAATTACAAATTAATCCTAAGTAAAAAGATCTGAAAAGTTCTCAAATTCATGGCTTACATACTCACCTTTTTCTAAAGAGAACTCTGAAGTTTTATACTCCATCCACATAGTAACTGCAGTAAAGCTAAGATAAATCTGCAGGTGTACCGTTATCTGCAATAAAAATTAAACACTGCCCAAATCAGAATGTTTAATAAATGTAAATTAAAGAGCATAACATGGGAAACAGAAGACTACTAGAAGCTTTAGAAAGGTTAAGTATTGTGAAAGCAATATAGTCACAATGCCTGGATTACTGGTGGGTTTAGAAAACATTTTCCAGTGCAAAAGGAGCATATCGTTCCATCTCCTGATTAGCATCCCTGAAACTTTAACACCACCATAAGCCATAAGAGGAAATAGCTGAAGGGTCCTACAGTAGCACAGATCCTGTCTTTGCCTTGCATACTAGCATAAGACTTTCGTCATCTGTATGAATGGTGTATTTGAGTTGCTTTCATTGCAAGCATTTGCTGCCCCCAAGAGTCAACAACTCAGTTCCCATGGTGCTGTGTAATTTCTTAAAGGATGTTTCGTATGTACAGTATCACGTTCTTGTGGTTGCTATAGCAATGAAAGCACTTGACTTCTACAACACCGAACAGTGAAAAACACTCATATAAACCATGAAGAATAAATACCAGAGTTTCAAGTTCATTTCTGAAGGGATTTTAGTTACTGATGTGTAATTTCTGCCCAATATTAACATGAAACTGAAGCAATGTAACCAAAATAACCTCTTTATCTAGACAACAGAAGTTCTGCCAATCTGATTTGTGCAATATTTGCATAAGTATATACCCGAATATGTGTATTTGTTAAATAGCGCCAATAACTGATCAGAAAACAAGTATCTCATTAATGGTACATTTTCCTTTACAATATACTCATTACTTTCTAATGCGTATCTTTATTAGTGATTTTACTGAAAAATGGCAATGTGGCTATTTTGTGTCCAAAGCGAAAACAGAATACAATCCCTCCACTATAGAACTAGTATATTGAAGCTTAAATGCCCCACTCAGACAGGGGGAGCAGTGTGCTCCTCACCTACAGAGAAGAGACCCACCTGGCATAGCGTATTTTGCAAGAAACCCAAATATCAAAGGCAGAAAGAAAACAAAGGAGTGGGACACTGACAAAACAGAAGTGCAAACCCTAAATAACAAAACAACTTCTATTCGGGGAAAATAAAAACTAATCCAGTGTGGAAGTGATCAGCATCTCTCACACATATATGGTTATACACCTTCTATACAAACACAAACACTTATAAACACAGTCCTGTGCACATGAAGTGTAAATGCAGCATGCGCCTAATGAAGAATAAAGAAAAGTAGCAATACAGCCAAGTGAGGGAACAGGCAAGAAAAGAGCTGTGAGTGTGCAGTGATATGGCTAAAAACCTAGTACTTTTTGAATTGCTTATGCCCAAGTAATGGGAATGTTGCTCACAGTAGCAGTCCTAGAAATTTAGCACATTTATAAAGGTATGTCTTACTTTCCTTGTGTGTTTTTCTCTGGCATTTATTAATGTATTACCTAAGTTGTTCTCTCATTAATCTTTTACGACACTCATGAAATGAAGGGGGGGTGTACCACTTTACAGATACAATAAAGTGATGGAGTAGGTACTCACTAATTGTAGGCAATTACTCTGAGATGTGCACTATTTCCTACTTTCCCTGAAAGCAAATGAGAAACAACAAACAACAAAAAGCCCCCAGCTTTTGTAATGGGGTTTCCCTTTCTTCTTTTTTTTTTTTTTTTTTTTTAGTTTGTTCTTGCTTGTTCTTAAACCAAGACAAGAAGAATTTGAGACTTAAGACACAGCAACTGTGCTAAAGGAGTAACATCATTAGCAGTTCCTGTCCTTCAGAAGGCCCTGAGAGGTACCAAGACAAACTACTACTCAACCAGATGCACAGATACTTGTTAGGAGAACACTGAAAACCTGGATACAAATTAATGTTTTTTAATGTATTCTTTTTCACATCTCCTGTTTTCTGCATTATGCTGACTTAATGATGTGGAGAATGTGTCACATATTGACACTCACGGGTATGCCCAAAATTGTTAATCAAACTATACTGGATCCATGCTGTCGGGGGTAAACAGTTCTAAAGATATGTTGATATCTTAATTTGAATCCCACTCCCCTTGCCTACCCAGTCTACCACAAATTGAGTGGGTTATCTTTTGTTCTCCCCTATTCCTTTTCTCCATGTTTTGACTTATAATCCCTAAATACATAGTGATAAAACCAAAAAGGAAGTAAATTCACTCTCCCGGTTTATCATTCACTTTACTTAATTGGTAAGTATTGGTCAACTCCTACTGCCTTTTTAGACCTTGTCACTTGCCTTTTTGTTGCAGTCAAATCCATCTTGTCAGATAAATCTTGATTTCTTCCCTTTAACATGCAGCCCATGCCCCCACCATTACCTGTAAAATCAGCTGATTCACTAAATAATAAGTGAAATACACTGAACAAACTGCTGCCATTAAGGGGTACTTTCTCAACAACTGCACTTTTTTCACCTCCCTTCTGTGCTGTGGGTTATACCGTCCTTCCACTTAATGCCGGAATCGGCACTTGTTGGATGCCTGAAGGGTCACTTTCACTTTTGTCTGCCAATATTGCTCAAATTGGGCAGGTTTCTGCTGAACATAGCGCATTATGGCAGCTAAGGGTAGCACTATCAGTGACAAGGCAAGATACAGAATAATGTACCCTACGCAAGAGGGGAAGAGCAGGCAGGTAGTGGGGATTAAGGGATATGGCAAAGATGATCTCCATCTTCGTTTGGTCACCCTTGTAAAGAGCTGCCACCTAAACCTTGTTATCTGTCTACCTCTGCATTTTCCAGCCTCATTTCTTATCAGTTCCCTGCCCGTAATGTTGTGCCATTCGTGTGTGCGTGTGTGTGTGTGTGTGTGTCTCCACATTCCCTCTGCCTCCCCACACCCAGTTCAGTAGTGCTCATCTGTCCCTCACAGGTGTTGACTCAGCTCCCCATACTGCCCCTAGTTCAAGTCCTTGTCCCTGCTGCACTCCAGTCAGGTATACTCCTGCTCCTGCACTGCCTGCGCAACTAAGCTAAGGACAGACCCTGCTGCTCCCATCATTTGCTTGCCTGGAACTCAGCTAGCAGCAACTATGCTGAGAGGTTCTGTACCCTGGCTACCACACAGCACGCAGAGCCGTGTTTTTAAAGCAACATGTCCAGGCTGGCCAGCATCAAGAACTGAGAGAGGACAGCTCCATCGATCTTTAGATTAAGGTGCTGAATTCTTACTTAAAGTCTTGGAGCCTATTCCAAGTGAGATAATTCACAGAGTAACTTGGTCTCTGTGGGTGAAGCTCCATGGGAATAGCTATAAGCATGCTCTCCCAAACTGCAAATACCATAGTAAAGAAATAACAGGCTTTTCAAAGAAAGCTTGATACATATCTTTTTTAATTTGAAAAACAGAAGGCTTTCTCCACCCAAATAAAAGCATTAAATACAAACACATTCCTCCAAATATTCAATTTATAACACACGTTCAGCCTGAAATGTGAGCAAAACCTTGACAACCCTATATGCAACCAAAGGTAGATTCTTAATAAAAATGTCAGTCAACTTTCAGAATAGAAAAGGCTACCAGCCCTACCTATAATTACTGTTGTACACATTACAGCTGCAGGGTGTGAGTTTTCTTGCAAGCTTATACAAGTTACAGCCTACTTCTTGCAAGTCTAAGGAAGTGGGTCTCAAAGAACTATCTGATAGGAGAAAATTCCACAGGAATTAGTTTAAGCAGCGCATCCAGACAAATTCAAAAAACTAAACACCTAAACAACCATGATGTTTCAAGAAACTGTCAAATACAAAGAAGTCAAGATTAATACCATTTCTAATGAGGCAGTATGATATCTGTGCAAACAGGGAGTTTTCATAATTACAGAATTCTAAAGGGCTTGAAATATAAGAATGTTAGGTAATGGCATTATTCCAAGTCATAACTAATGCAGTCAATGAACTAAAAAGATTTCATTAATTACTCTGAAAACTGTAAAAGGTTATAGCGTAGGTACTCAAAAGGCTTGTTTTAATACTACAGAAATCCAACTTAAAGCAATTTACATGGCCTACTAAGACAGCAAGAACTTTGTATTTTGACCTCCTTAAAAACAGACCTTCCTCCAATTATTTTAGCTGACCTTTGGTAGGATCTGGAAAACCAACCTAGCTATGTGAAAGGTTACCTCTCTTTTGACTGTGTTGATAATAAGATTTGTTCATCCTTATACTCTGAATTTGCAGCAACTATGAAAATAATTATAGAAACTAGAAAATAATTGTAGTATTTTTAATAGCAATAAACTGATAATTCCACTCACAGATGTCTGAAGCTTTGGATCACATGAGTAGATGTAAAGTAAAGTAAAGCCAATACTGATTGATTTTGAAAATCTTTGCCAAATTTTTTTCACTCCTGGATTTCTTTTCCTTTACAGCAGAGCTTTACACCAGCATGGCATACAGTCAACCTCTGCAATCAAGTGAAAAACTGATCCTTTGGTTCACTGGACAAACAGAAAAGAGACCATTCTGGATAGATCAAAATTTCCTGTTGGCTAAAATAAAATGCTACCACCCCTTGTTACCCCTGCTGGTGTTCAACTTTTCTCAGCTAAATGCGGAAGAGAGAGGCATTTCAAAACAGCAGCAGAAATAGGAAATGCACTTTTAAAAATCTGTGTTTTGCTTTGAAGTTACTTCTTGGGTTGGACAAGTTTCACCTAAGATTACTTTTCCAGATGACAGTTTATTTTCTAAACCTTCCCCACCTCTGTCCATTTGATCACTTTAAGTCTTGGTTAAGCTGATCTGAAAATTGACACATTAAAATTAATTTTCTCTGGAAAATTTTTAAGCCATAATTTCTAACATACATACAGAAAAAAATCTCTTCCACTCCTTGCTTGCTTGTATCACAGTATGTGTGTTTCCACCAATCCCCTGCTTTTTGGACACTTTTAATGCATACACATACCTTCGTCCTCACCTTTCATAAATCTTGTACAAGACGCAGCAAGTACCCAAAGCCTCAGACAGTGACCTATAAACAACTTAGCCTCTAAATACTGAAAGGGCACTCAGTTGTTATCCTCCATCTGCCCAATAAATACTTCTCATGGCAAAGCTCAGCATCACTGAGAAACAGCAAGGGAAGTTGAAGTCCATATCATGTTAGCAGCATTTATACCTCAAAAGTTACTGGCAGACTTTCCTAGCTGGGGAAACCAGAGCGGCCTTGTTTGCAGATAAATCTAAGTAATTCCCCAGGTTTTGTATTTGGATGATGCATCACTCTTGTTTTAGCTACCAGTCAAGGAATGGCACATATCCATGTTTCTGCATTTTGACTGAGCAGGTGGCAGCAACGTACCTTACAGCTTGAGTGAAGTCTGAAATCCCCCTAGATCAAAAATACATTTCCTAGCAACCATTCAACAGCTAACATATTTAATTTTTCCACTAATGAACTAAAGGCAGAATCCCATCTGCACATTTGACTGTGTTGGAAGAAATGAAAGTCCCAAAAAATACATGACATGAACACAGCTCCAGCAGATCAAAGAAATTAAATTGCTTGCCCAGCCAAAATAACTTGCTGGGACAAGGAGATTCAGAGGGGCAGAAAATATCAGCAGAGAAAACAAGAGACCGCTGAAAAAGAGCGAGTCTTCCAGCCTGAGAACAAGCTGCTGTTTGAGACTCAACTGACATCGTGGAGACTAAATGGGTTTGGACACCACCACAGCTTCTGCAAAATATTGTGTGATGCAGAAAGAAAGCCCAGGCAAGGGAGCGCAGTAGTCCTGCCTGTCGATGGACACAAGCCGCACGGATTCTGTGGATTCTGTGTTACATGAAGGGTACAGTCATGGGTTTAGGTTTCCTCAGCAAATAACTGCCTATTGCCTGACCCGCGGTGACTGACCATTATGTTTCCAGTTTTTTTCAGCTGTTTTTTTAATATTTACCACAACTTGAAGACCAGAGTAACTGCATTAAGGCTGTTACTCCTGAACATTTTTTCCCATATTTGAGTCATATTCACTACTGCTGCTCCACTGTTTACGTAATTCTAAGTATTTAATTGTACGTTACAAACAGCCTTACTTTCAGCTGTAGGAAGTACAGCATACGAACAGTCTGAACTGTATTCATGCTTGTCAAGTGCTATATTACTTTATAGCTGAAGGAAATCTTTCAAAGCAAGCTACAAATTAAATGGTAGTAAATGGCTATTGCTGCCATAGGAAGGTGAAGAAAAAGCATTCGGACCAAAACTCAAAGCCAGACACTGTACTTCCTGTCTTTTAGATTTTCTAACATGTAAATTGATCTTTACAAAAAGGATTAACTACTAGAAGTGTACGGCTGAAGCCCAACATTCAGCTCTGCTCGCTCGTTATTGACCACTAGAGCAGGTGTCCAGAATCCTAATGCAGGGCTCTGCAGTTGGCGTTTATATGATCTGCATACTAAGCACAAGTCACCATTGTCTTCTAGTTTTAATTTATTGATGGCCTTAGCAACAGCTATTTTGTTGCTAATTATACTGTAAATTGCTAGTACAAAATTAAACAGCACTTTGGACTCTAAATATGCACTTCTATAAAGTACATTTCTTGAAAAAACTATTTTATCAGGTAATCAGATTTATGCTCAGAACTTTCAGGCTTTCTCACAGAATACTACCTTGTGGTATTTTTGTTACGTTAATGGCTTACGCGTATCATTTTCTCAGGAAAGCTTTATAGTATGTACTAGATAAGAGATGGTGGTGTAAGAAGGCATTTTCAAAAGTTGCAATAGTTAATCACAGGCACATCTGTGTCATTGCAAGATGAAGTCTAGGGCATTTGAGAATCTTGTCTCTTAGTACTTCTTGCAAAAACAGGCCCAAGTATTCCAACAGATTCCATTTTGGAAAACCTGTTATTTATCAAAAGTCACCATGTGGCTTCAGTTTGTAGTTTAAAGTATATCTTACCTAGGTGGCTGTGCGACAGAGCTGAGGGCTGGCAGGGAACATGGAGTCCACCATAGCTGACTGCAGATCTGGATGTTACTCTGGTTCAGACTAGTCCATGTGTTCCAAGATACAGTCTCCACTTGGCGTGTGAATTTAAACTAAATGGCTTGCCAAATACTTTGTGATCTCTCTTACTGAAAGACACTGTGAAGTAATAAGAGTTAGGTTCATTCCCTAGAGCTCAGAGCATTTTAAACATCTAGAAAGGTATGTCTCATGTTAGCCCATTTTTGTAGATGAAAAACTTCTCCTGTTTAAAGATCGTAAGTAACTTCTCCTGGGTGATACTAACTACCCCTCCAAAGTTGGAAGCAGTCATTCCATCTCTCATTTCTATCCTGTGCTCCCACAAGAAGACCATTTTTGAGTGAAAACTGAGGGTCATCTTGACCTACAAAAAATAACAGGGGTTGGCGTATAACTCAGAAATAAGATCTACTCTACAGAACGCAAGACTGCATGCCTACTCTTCCAGGGCCTGCCTTCATTTTTCTTCTTAAAGATACAGAGGTTTTGTATTTCTCCCATGTTTACCAGATGTGCAGTTGCCCATGGGGAGAGTTTCATTTCTAATGTTACAGGACTCAAGGTCATAAAAATGTAGTGAGAACTATGGCAGCCATACAGTCAACTCTTGGTTATGTGTGGGTAGTTATTTGCTCTGTACTCCACCTTGCCAAGCAAGCTTGAGCCCTTCTGCTAACAGAATGTCAAAACAGTTGTTTTCCATCCTGTGGAATATGGTCCTCATGTTGCCAGTCATGTAATAGCTGGCAAAATGAATAACTGAGTACAGTGCTTGGAATAAAAGAATGAACAAAATTAAAATCTAAACATAACAATTGATGCCAAGGGGGTTGGGGGAAGGCTAAACCCAAATTTTATCTCAAACTCACATCATAAAAATAAAATCCTGGTTGCAAGTACCACTTACAAAATTATAAATTCATTACTAAATACTTTAGAAGGATGTTTTAATGAAATTCTGAAAAGATTAAACCTGGGTTGAAATCTGTAAACATTTGATGGGTTTTAGTATATGATAAGCAGTAGATTTAAAATTCTCTAGGGAATATGTAAGCTCAGATATACTCTGCCTCTTAATTCCCAGAACTGAAATCCTCCCCAAACACATTGGAATCTCTGTAATTTACTTGAATGAATGCACCCACTGCTGAAATGTAGACCTTCCTCCTCAGCACCTCACACTGTGAAGAGTCATGTTTAGTTGTTTAATGCCTTGCAGAATTCAGTGAAGAATGGGGAAAAAATGGTAGGGTTACATCAACAGATAGTAACCAGGATGGGTTTTCTGGTTTTTTCCTTTTAACCTTGGCAGAGACACAAAGGTAATACCATACTCTTAAGAAAAGTGCTGTAAATATCTTCACTGCTCATATGAAGGCAAGCTCTTGATTCATATTTCTTTCAATTGGTACCCCCATCTAGCGTTTAGATTAGAGGCTGACACAGGATTTGGTTAGTCTGTGTAACACCTGCAGCGTTTTCTACAATGAGAAAGGGTTGAGCAGCTGCACAATGACGCTTTAAACTGCGTTACTGGAAAATCAGCGTCAGGCTTGAAAAAGTTTATTAAACATTCTTGCTGCTACTCCTCTTTTGAGGCAAGAAGAATTAAACCATCATTATTTCTAAGCTGACAAATGTAATCAGAGTACTGAAACTTCTAAGTTTTCCAGATTCCTGATTATTTGTTTTTAGAAGATTGATACTGTCATGTGATAGGGGTTAAGCTCTGCTTTGTGCACAGTCCTTCTCTTGTGAGTATCTAGAGATGAACTGAGTTATAAACAAACAACCTGTGGTTGTTTCTCATGTGCTTAAAGTGTGGTGTGTGTAAATAGAAATGAGGGAAAAAAAAAGCATGGAACAGGGATGCAGTGTTTCAAGCTGCTTAGACTAAAAAATACATTTATTTTATGAATGCTGCATTTTGAAGGTAAGATATCATATTTGTAGATCATGTATCAAGAATTTTACCCTTTGTCAGGCTGTTCTACAGATTTGGGAAAGAAAGATTAGATGATCACTCTGGCAGATACACATACACATATTTGTATTTTAACAGTGTTCTCACATTACCTTCACTCTGAAAACCTTCAAGGTAACTCAGGTAGTGTGTGTATTAGTTGCTAATAATTCATGTGTCTAAGTTACATTGAAGACATTTCTGGTTTTATAACCTAGAATAATAGACATTTATGTGGCACTTCCCATTGGAGGAGAATTAAGTGCTTTTTAAAGATTTGTGAGGTATTGGCA